GTAATGCCATAAAAGCTTATGAAGCATTTCAAAAATGGCAACCCAGCCAAGAAGTAGATTTATTACAAGCACATCAAATTTTAATGACAGGCTTGATTGATGATGTTGGACAATACCGTCATGCCAATGTAGGTGTCATGTCTGGTGATCAAGTGGTGCATATGGCTCCGTCAGCGAATCAGGTTCCTCGTTTAATGTCTGATTTACTGGAATGGCTTAAAGATAGTCAAGAACACCCACTCATTCAGAGTTCGGTATTTCATTATGAGTTTGAGTTTATACATCCATTTGCTGATGGGAATGGACGTATGGGGAGACTTTGGCAAACATTGATACTTAGCCGATGGAATACTATTTTTGCAAATATTCCTGTTGAGAGCCTGATTTATCAAAATCAAAAGGCCTACTATGAGGCTTTACAAGCCAGCACAGACCGTACTGATTCTGCAGCATTTATAGAGTTTATTTTACAGATGATTTTGGATGCGATATTGGACTCAAATAACACCGCTCAAGATAGCGCTCAAGTTGACGTACAAGTAAGCGACCAAGTTCAGCGTTTAATTTCAGTTATGCAGGAAAAAGAGTATAGCTTGTTTGAATTGATGCGGTTATTAGATTTATCCCATCGTGCAACATTCCAAAAGAATTATCTCAATCCTGCGTTAGACACAAACCTTATTGAACGTACCATTCCAGATAAGCCGAAAAGCCCTAAACAACGATATAGATTGAAGTGAAATAAAAGTAATTTCTCCTATTACCCAATTCGGACGGGGGAATTTAAAAGATTTTATTTAAAAAAATGAAAGGTTAATCAGTAAAAAATAAAAATTAGTGTACTCAAATATAAGACCAATTTTTATCTGAGCAAAGTGAATAATTCTCAGTATCATTTGTCACAATAATTATTTATTATTGCTTAACAATATCGAAAAATTCACATGTTTTTAATATATCAACCATTCTTCAGGCCTGTTTTCATATGAATAAGTCTTTCTTAAGCTTAATCGTCATTGCGATGATTGCAACTGGGTGTACAACAACCAAATCCATTCAATACCCTGCAAAAGGCAGCAACACGACAATTTCAGTATCATCTGAACAAATTTCAGCGATGACGGAATCTGGTGGTGGTGATCATTTTATTGAGGGAAGCCAAATTACTGTCGGGGATGCAAGCAATGCGCTTTCCAACCCTGCATCAAATGCATTTGGACTGATTGGTGTTGGTGTTGCTACAGCGATTGATAAACGAAATAATGGCGCAGCTATCTCTAACAGTAATTTAAAGCAAGCCATTAAATTTGATGAGATCGTGAATAAAAAAATTAGCTCGGCTTTACAGGAGAATCAAGCAGATACTTCTCTTAAACTAATGACTTCAAATCAGGCTTCTGACGTTAAAATTGTCCCATTTGCACGGCTTTCTTTTAAAGAAAAACCTGATGTCAAGGCAGTATTTGGATTGAAAGCTGAATTTAAAAATGCTGCTGACAATAATAAGTCTGCAAAGCGTTTATACAATTATATCAGCCAGAAAAAAGCACCATTAACTGAATGGGATGCAAATAATAATACGGTCTTTTTTACACAAGCAAATAAAGCTTTTGACGCATTAGCACAGGTTCTTGTATTAGATATACAGCATCAATTAAATCTTGAGGCGGCCAGTGAAGTAGATCAGAAAAAATGTAAATCAACGGGCGATTTCTCAGGTATCACTTTTATTTCAGCGCCTGAAAATTTATGTGTAGGTGTGTTAAAGACCAACAAAGGGGTAGTGTTACCAAATTTTGTGCTGGTGATAGAACAGTAATTCATATCTTTTGAAAGAAGGTATTAGTCCAAATCGTCCGCTAAGAAAATCACAAAAGTGCATATTCTAAAAGCGGACATTTTTACTTTCGAGTTACATGTTGGCTCGTATAACGACTGTGTTTGTTAAATGTACACTAGTAAGTATATTTAATAGGGGAGATATCTCCTTTTTTTCTTTCAAATTCTTTAGGAATTTTTTTGCCTATGTATAGAGATTTAATATTGTCAGAAGCTTCATCAGCTATAAAACCAAATCTGTTCAAATCAGTTTCTTGAACGAAATGCATTGGAAAATTATCAGTAGTAGCTTCCAACCAAGTAGCATTAATATAAGCACCACGAATAATTCCATGAGCAACAGCAAGGATAACGTCTGCTTTTCCAGCTCTATCTTTATTCACTCTCCATGCAAATCTAACAGCATCATAGATTGAGCTATTCTTAATTCCTTTATTGATTGAGATTAATAAAACTTTATGCTCAAAGACAGCTTCAATAGCTGCATATTTCTGGTTGATTTCATGAACATGCATGACTCCATTTTCACTGTTCCCTGAACCATTTTGAATATTAGACAATCCTAAATAGGCATCAATTAATGCCCCTTCAACTTCAAAAGCAGTTTTCTCATCCAAAGCATGGCGATGAATGACATGAAGAACTGCTAGCCCCGATGCCTTGATATCTCTGATACGTTGAATTTTATCTGATAAACTATCACCTTCTTTAGATATTTGTTCGTCATAAATATGACTAAAGATACGGTTTCCTTTACCTTTTCCAACATAAAATGTTTGCCCATCTCTAGGATCAATTAGGCGATAAACATAATATTGCAAGTGTTCCACTACACCTACTCGAAAGCACTCTCTACTCATCATATTCACTTATAAGTCATTAAGTCTTTATAATAATAAGTAAAAATAAGTCAGTACTCGATTGGCATTTATGTTTTATTCATTCTTTTAGGTATTGTGACGTGAAACTGAAACAATTGATGAATGCCTATGTGAATGAAAATAATATTGATGAATTTGGGCGCTTTGGGCAGCTGTTGAATTATGTTAATAAAGAAAAAGCTAAACAGTATTTTGAACAAGAAGATGGAGTAAAAATCCCAACTTTAAAAGTCAATGTGAAAGTTGAGAAGCTTTTACGAACATTTATTTTAAGTAATGGTAAAGAACTATCTTGATAAGAATAAAGAAAAGGTCTTAAAGACCTTTTCTTTATTTGAGTTATAAATTTTTTGATTCTGTTTCTAGTAGATATAGTTCATTGATCAATAAAAATTCACGATATTGGTGAACTAAATTTTCTTCAGGCTTCTCTCTATGTGTCCGTGCATTCCTAAAGGCCTGATATGCACCAATAAATAAGTTTGCACGACCGATAATTTCAGATTTATCTGGTAAGTCCCAAGTAAGAGGGGCATTAGGTGATGCAAAAGTTTGAGAGAACAATTTACTGCTGTGTTCACTTAGTCCTGTTCTTGTTCTTACAATATCTTCTAAGCGTTTATATGCTTTTAACAGCGCTGAATCTGGATCGTTTTTAAAGAGCAAAGCTAAATCAAAAATTCTGTCATCAATGATTGAATAGGGAAGCTCGAGAGGATAATAACGTTTTAGGCTAGAAGTTGATGAAACTTTATTTCTAAAAGGATAGATATAGTCGTGCAATTGTATAGGACGAATAATTTTCTGCTTAAAAATTAAATCAATATCCTCATCACTTAGTAATGAGTTATTCAGCTTCTTCATCATTTTTGATGTAATTAGAGTTTCTTCGGTTTCAATTTCATGTTTATTTAATATGGTTAGAGCTGTCGCTAATCCTTTTGGACCTTCGCCAGGATAACCAGATGTAAAGCCTGAACGGATAATGTAATAACTTTCAGATTGATCTTTAAGGATCAAGGCATGCGATTGATCATTGGTAAGAAGTAATGCATAAGAGAGATCAGAATGAGTTTGTATGAGATTACAAAGGGCCAGCAAGCAGGTGTGTGTAATGCCGGCCTCACCTAAATACTCAACATGATAATAATTTTTAGTTTGAAACATCATTTATCATTTCTTTTTATCAGGGGTAGAGTGAATAATGGAGTATAAATAAAAATCTAGAATTTTAAACAGCTATGATATAGATTTTATTAGATTTTTATTTATAAAACGTGAATATATAAGCAATGTAGTACTTCTACAAAAACTGCATATATTAAAATACAATTTTTCAGACACAAAAAAGGCCTAAACCCTTAAGATCTAAGCCTTTCCCCACTGCATCGGCATGCAGTTTTTTCAATTCTGGCGGTGAAAGAGGGATTCGAACCCTCGATACGCTATAAACGTATACACACTTTCCAGGCGTGCTCCTTAAGCCACTCGGACACTTCACCAAGGCGTGGGATAATAACCAAAAAAAAGATTTCTGCCAAGCAACAATTGATTTAGAGCAAAAAAAATTTCACAGTGATATGATTGCGCAAAAATAGTGTCTAAATTTTTGAAGACGAATCTATGCAAAGTACTGCAAAAAAAGCCGCGTTACCTGCGATCACACTCGCAGCATTAGGGGTGGTATTTGGAGACATCGGAACCAGTCCCTTGTACGCCCTACGCCAATGTTTTCTGACTGCACACATTGCCATCACCGAAGCGACCGTGCTTGGGATCTTGTCACTGATTTTCTGGTGCATGATGCTCACCATCAGCTTTAAATACGTCACCATTATCATGCGAGCAGATAACAATGGTGAGGGTGGTATCATGTCCTTGCTGGCGCTGAACTTACGCTCTAATCGTATCGCAGATAATCGCAAAATCTATTTAATTGCTTTGGGATTTATTGGTGCATCACTGTTTTTTGGTGATGGCATTATTACCCCAGCAATTTCAGTACTTTCAGCGATTGAAGGGCTGAGTATTGCCACACCCATGTTTAACAAATGGCTGATGCCTTTGGCAATCGGGATTCTTACCGCACTGTTTCTGGTACAAAGACATGGTACGGGAACCATGGGTAAGTTTTTTGGCCCAATCACTTTAACCTGGTTTGCCTCTATCGGTTTAATCGGTATTCATAGTATTAGCCAAACCCCCTATGTATTAAGCATGCTCAGTCCACATTGGGCGCTGAACTTTATTTTTCATCAACCCTTTGTGGCGTTTTTAACCATGGGTGCGGTGATTTTGACGGTGACGGGTGGTGAAGCACTCTATGCAGATATGGGGCATTTTGGACGGCTGCCGATTCGTTTAGGCTGGTTTATCATTGTGCTGCCTTGTCTGTTATTAAATTATGCAGGGCAAGGTGCGTTATTGCTGCGTAATCCAAGTGCGATTGAAAACCCATTCTATTTGCTTGTACCTGAATGGGGCTTATACCCCATGATTGCCCTAGCCACAGCGGCAGCGGTGATTGCCTCACAAGCGGTCATTACAGGTGTATTTTCAATGGCAAACCAAGCCATTCAGCTACGCTATTTGCCAAGATTAACCGTGCACCACACTTCTGATGTAGAACAAGGTCAGATTTATTTGCCCTTTATCAACTGGATACTCTACGTTTCGATTCTTTTATTGATTGTGATTTTCCAAAACAGTGCCAATCTTGCCAATGCTTATGGTGTAGCAGTCACCATGACCATGCTATGCGATACGATTTTGATTTCAATCTTGGCATATGGTTTTTGGCGTTGGCCAAAGTGGAAAGTGGCATTGTTCGCCATCCCATTTTTAGTGATTGATAGTATTTTTATTGGGTCAACTTCATTAAAAATTATTTCAGGCGGATGGGTTCCGATCCTGATCGGTGCAATCGTATTTACTATTCTGATGACGTGGAAAACCGGGCGAGAAATTGTCTTTAACCGTTTGGAAAAAGATGCCTTGCCGTTGGATCTGTTTATTAAAAGTGTCAGTTTGAGTGATGAAACACAGTTTGTACCCGGTCAAGCGGTATTCTTAACCGGTAATCCAAATATTGTTCCACATGCGATGTTGCACAATATTAAGCACAATAAAGTCCTGCATGAACGCAATATTATGGTGACGGTGATTACCCGTGATGTTCCTTATGTGCCAGACCAAGAAAGAATTCGTGTTGAAGTGTTAGATAAGCGCTTCCAACGTGTTTTTGTTTACTATGGCTTTAAGGATCAACCTGATATTCCAAATGCACTAGAATTGGCTTATAAGCAACTCGAAGTTGAATTTGACATGATGCATATCAGTTTCTTCATCTCACGTGATCGTTTGATTCATACTGTGGGTGATGGAATGGCACCATGGCGTGAAAAACTGTTTATTTCGATGCAACGCAATACCAGTCCGGTGAGTGATTTCTATCAAATCCCGCCAAACCGTGTGGTGGAAATGGGTAGCCAGATCGAAATCTAAATTCATATCAATCAAAAGCCAGAAGTCCTTCTGGCTTTTTTTTGCCCATGGGTTTTATGGGTTGGTGTATTACATTGATTCACTTCATCTTTAGTAAAGATTTTTTCTCTAAATCCTGAAAATACGAATTCTTATATTCGGTATTCTTGATCCCGTAAAAGTAGATAGGCTGATACTGCACTGAGACAGTATCAAACCCTTTAGAATGCTGAGTTTGAATCGTTTTATTATTCAATTCTCCCTAGCTAATCGTGATACATCAGTATAAAACGATTTCATACGACAAACTGTGTCGCAAGGCTGTCGAACAACACTGCGCAACATGACATAATCATCTCCGCAAGTGCAATAAAGCATCTGTAAGATATTTGATTTTCTAGCATTTTTTGTGAAATAAACAATAAATTGTTACATGGAATGTTGTTTAGTTAAGCACAAATCGTAGAAGCTTTACTCGGTTGAAGATCGACACAATATCTTTCAGTTTATTGACTTGTTAAGCTATTTAAATTCAAAAACTTAATTTGTATCGGTTTTGAGTGGATTGTTTATTTAACCTTGTTTAGGAAGCCTTTGTTGAAAAATTCAGTAGTTAAAATGGTGTTAGGTGTTGTTGCTACTGGAAGTTTTGCGATTGCGTTTGGCCAAGAGAAAATTTTTCAGTTACTGCCGTTTACCCAAAGTGGTGCAAACAATGCT